ATATCACAGCTATACTTAACCTTTCAATAGATCACACCTATACTCCACCTTTCAATATATCACACCTATACCCCACCTTTCAATATATCACACCTATACTCCACCTTTCAATATATCACAGCTATACTCCACCTTTCAATAGATCACACCTATACCCCACCTTTCAATATATCACACCTATACCCCACCTTTCAATATATCACACCTATACTCCACCTTTCAATATATCACAGCTATACTTAACCTTTCAATATATCACACCTATACCCCACCTTTCAATATATCACACCTATACCCCACCTTTCAATATATCACAGCTATACTTAACCTTTCAATAGATCACACCTATACCCCACCTTTCAATATATCACACCTATACTCCACCTTTCAATATATCACACCTATACCCCACCTTTCAATATATCACACCTATACTCCACCTTTCAATATATCACAGCTATACTTAACCTTTCAATATATCACACCTATACCCCACCTTTCAATATATCACACCTATACCCCACCTTTCAATATATATCACACCTATACCCCACCTTTCAATATATCACACCTATACCCCACCTTTCAATATATATACACACCTATACTCCACCTTTCAATATATCACAGCTATACTTAACCTTTCAATATATCACACCTATACCCCACCTTTCAATATATCACACCTATACCCCACCTTTCAATATATCACAGCTATACTCCACCTTTCAATAGATCACACCTATACCCCACCTTTCAATATATCACACCTATACTCCACCTTTCAATATATCACACCTATACCCCACCTTTCAATATATCACACCTATACTCCACCTTTCAATATATCACAGCTATACTTAACCTTTCAATATATCACACCTATACCCCACCTTTCAATATATCACACCTATACCCCACCTTTCAATATATCACACCTATACTCCACCTTTCAATATATCACAGCTATACTCCACCTTTCAATAGATCACACCTATACTCCACCTTTCAATATATCACACCTATACTCCACCTTTCAATATATCACACCTATACTCCACCTTTCAATATATCACACCTATACTCCACCTTTCAATAGATCACACCTATACCCCACCTTTCAATATATCACACCTATACTCCACCTTTCAATATATCACAGCTATACTCCACCTTTCAATAGATCACAGCTATACTCCACCTTTCAATATATCACACCTATACTCCACCTTTCAATATATCACACCTATACTCCACCTTTCAATATATCACACCTATATTCCATCTTTCAATATATCACACCTATACTCTCTCTGTCAATATATCACAGCTATACCCCACCTTTCAATATATCACAGCTATACTCCACCTTTCAATAGATCACACCTATACTCCACCTTTCAATAGATCACACCTATACTCCATCTTTCAATATATCACACCTATACCCCACCTTTCAATATATCACACCTATACTCCACCTTTCAATAGATCACATCTATACCCCACCTTTCAATATATCACACCTATACCCCACCTTTCAATATATCACACCTATACCCCACCTTTCAATATATCACACCTATACTCCACCTTTCAATAGATCACACCTATACTCCACCTTTCAATATATCACACCTATACCCCACCTTTCAATATATCACACCTATACTCCACCTTTCAATAGATCACAGCTATACTCCACCTTTCAATAGATCACACCTATACCCCACCTTTCAATATATCACACCTATACTCCACCTTTCAATATATCACAGCTATACTCCACCTTTCAATAGATCACAGCTATACTCCACCTTTCAATATATCACACCTATACTCCACCTTTCAATATATCACCTATACCCCACCTTTCATATATATCACACCTATACTCCACCTTTCAATAGATCACACCTATACCCCACCTTTCAATATATCACAGCTATACCCCACCTTTCAATAGATCACACCTATACCCCACCTTTCAATATATCACACCTATACCCCACCTTTCAATATATCACACCTATACTCCACCTTTCAATAGATCACACCTATACTCCACCTTTCAATAGATCACACCTATACCCCACCTTTCAATATATCACAGCTATACTTAACCTTTCAATAGATCACACCTATACTCCACCTTTCAATATATCACACCTATACCCCACCTTTCAATATATCACACCTATACTCCACCTTTCAATATATCACAGCTATACTCCACCTTTCAATAGATCACACCTATACCCCACCTTTCAATATATCACACCTATACCCCACCTTTCAATATATCACACCTATACTCCACCTTTCAATATATCACAGCTATACTTAACCTTTCAATATATCACACCTATACCCCACCTTTCAATATATCACACCTATACCCCACCTTTCAATATATCACAGCTATACTTAACCTTTCAATAGATCACACCTATACCCCACCTTTCAATATATCACACCTATACTCCACCTTTCAATAGATCACACCTATACCCCACCTTTCAATATATCACACCTATACTCCACCTTTCAATATATCACAGCTATACTCCACCTTTCAATAGATCACAGCTATACTCCACCTTTCAATATATCACACCTATACTCCACCTTTCAATATATCACACCTATACTCCACCTTTCAATATATCACACCTATATTCCATCTTTCAATATATCACACCTATACTCTCTCTGTCAATATATCACAGCTATACCCCACCTTTCAATATATCACAGCTATACTCCACCTTTCAATAGATCACACCTATACTCCACCTTTCAATAGATCACACCTATACCCCACCTTTCAATATATCACACCTATACTCCACCTTTCAATATATCACAGCTATACTCCACCTTTCAATAGATCACAGCTATACTCCACCTTTCAATATATCACACCTATACTCCACCTTTCAATATATCACACCTATACTCCACCTTTCAATATATCACACCTATATTCCATCTTTCAATATATCACACCTATACTCTATCTGTCAATATATCACAGCTATACCCCACCTTTCAATAGATCACAGCTATACTCCACCTTTCAATATATCACACCTATACTCTATCTGTCAATAGATCACACCTTCTTTACTATATTCCACCTTTCAATATATCACACCTATACTCCACCTTTCAATATATCACACCTATAATCTATCTGTCAATAGATCACACCTTCTTTACTGCGAACATCAGAGACCTTCTTTCCTGAGAACATCAGAGACCTTCTTTACTGAGAAGGTCAGAGACCTTCTTTCCTGAGAACATCAGAGACCTTCTTTACTGAGAACATTAGAGACCTTCTTTAATGAGAACATCAGGGACCTGCTTTACTGAGAACATCAGAGACCCGCTTTAATGAGAACATCAGACACCTTCTTTACTGAGAACATCAGAGACCTTCTTTCCTGAGAACATTAGAGACCTTCTTTCCTGAGAACATCAGATACCTTCTTTAATGAGAACATCAGAGACCTGCTTTACTGAGAACATCAGAGACCTTCTTTAATGAGAACATCAGGGACCTGCTTTACTGAGAACATCAGAGACCTTCTTTCCTGAGAACATCAGACACCTTCTTTATTGAGAACATTAGAGACCTGCTTTAATGAGAACATCAGAGACCTGCTTTAAAGAGAACATCAGAGACCTGCTTTAATGAGAACATCAGAGACCTTCTTTAATGAGAACATCAGGGACCTGCTTTACTGAGAACATCAGAGACCTTCTTTCCTGAGAACATCAGACACCTTCTTTATTGAGAACATCAGAGACCTTTACTGTGAACATCAGAGACCTTCTGTACTGAGAACATCAGAGACCTGCTTTAATGAGAACATCAGAGACCTTCTTTCCTGAGAACATCAGAGACCTTCTTTAATTAGAACATCAGAGACCTTCTTTAATGATGACATCACAATGGGTACGTTGTAGCCTCCTACACTGAAGATACTTCATGCTTTTCTCCTCCTTAAATGACTATATCTCATCTTATAATACCTACATCTGTTGAGCAGAATTATCTCAAATACTTCTCCTCCATTGCGTAGACCTCAAATATTCTTTCTGCAGTAAATCACGTCTGGTTTACACTTCTCTTACTGACGGCAATAGTTAGAGACTTCCAAGATCACTAGGCAGAGCCCAGTGTTGGCAATCAGTGTCACTCAACTGTCTAGATTTGGTTATTTCAGTGACAGTCTTTTTACACAAGATGGAAAATGACAAACCTCTGACCCATTGGTTTTAAGAAATATTGTTGTTTAAATATTACACAAAATCAAATTCCCTTTGAACTGATAAAATTAGGTTTGTTTCCCACCATTGCCTGGAGCAACCAAAAACAGCAGCAAGTGCTAGACACCCTCACTGCATTTCATGTTTGAAATAAGCTCAAACCACTGAGAGACAGGTAATCTTAAGTAATTTACTGATAATTTTAACTTTTAAGTAATGCTAACTAAAAAAAAATCTTTACGTGCCAAACGTTTATACCTATGTAAAAAATTGTCAGTCCCAACATAGTGGTGAGGGTAAATGTAACACTTTGATGTTGGAACTCTATTACAGGATTATTTTGAAAATGAGTTTTCCCCGATCCCAATGCTGCTGATGGCTACAGCAGCTGCTGTAATACGAGAATGATGTGTGTAATCTCCGACTTCAACATTCTGGGGACAACGTCAACTCCATACGACCAGTATAGATTCCAGATTCGTACAGCATTGATACAAGATATCGGCTCAATTCTCCATAACCTAACAAGCAGTTGCTTCATATCAAAAGAGTTGATCATGCAAGTTTTTAACATCAACTTTTTTACCATCATAAGGTGAATGAACAGACGCAATTTCAAAGTAGTCATCTGCATCAACCTATTACCCCCACTGCACATAATTGGCTGTTCCATGTAGTAAGGGTGAGTCCATGTTGGAGGAGAAGAAGGGGTGTTGTCTGTCTCAGTCAGGCAGTAGTGTGCGGACCGGCAGTATGGTGGAATGCCATGCTGTTGCATAGGCCCTCACTGTATCTGCGTGCAGGTAAGACAATCCTTATTGGTCACTTTAACACTAACAATATACACCATATAGATGATATGATGAGACATGGAAGGTGTAATATGACCATTATTGCTGTGCACCAAAACTGATCGGTTGATCTTAACTCAATGTTTACTGTAAGAATGTGAGTTCATCTTTTCTGTGCATGTTGAGAACACAGAGGTATTATTTTTATCCCAACATTGCCTATGTAATTTCATGTATCACATCTGTGGCTGTGTTGACATATAGGTACATTCTTACAAACTTCTATCAAGACAGGTGACAGGAAGGTTGTAGTTTCATTTCATCTCTTCAATTCCCCAAATGGGTACAATGTGTGAAGCCCATTTCTGGTGTCCCCTGCCGTGATATTGCTGGAAAATTGCTAAAAGTGGCGTAAAAACCATAATCACTCACTCACTCATCTCATCTCCCACAGAACAAATTTGTCCATATTTAGTGATGGATAACAATACATGGGTGACCAACTTGTGACAGTCAGAGCAACGTTTCAGTGCAGGTTCTAGCACCGATATCAAGCAAGTGATCACAGTGATATATTGTTATCCAACCTTACTGCTCCAACTTCTAAATGCCTCTCAAACAAGTTGTCCATATTTAATTGAAAAATATGACATTTGTGATTTTCTACATCAATTTAACTTACTTAGGGATCGTTCATAATTTACGGCCAGGGGGGTGATGATGATTTTTATGGAGAAGCATGTACAATGTGAACGACACCCCCTAAAATTTATGTACAAAGTAAGTGTCCCCCCCCCCCCCCACATGTCATGTACAAAATCAATGACCCAATATTTTTTAAGCATAATTTAAATATATTTTTTATGTACAAAATTGCTGACCCCTAAGAAACGTGTACAAAATTGATGACCCCCTACCTCCCCAGAACAAAATGGGTGCCCCCTTAAACATCATCAAACCCCCACCCCCACCCCCAGACATAAATTATGAACGGGTCCTTATAAGCTTTAAAACTTACTTATCCCCTTAATGATTGTTCCAGTGCTAATAACTATTGCCAATTGTGGGAATCATTTCTACATCAACTGATTGACACCTGGTATCAGGTGACTTGATTAGGGCTTTGAGAGTTTCAGTTTTAATTTTAAATCACAGATTTTATTTTCAAAGTATGTATGGCAAAATATTGGCTTAAAAGTCGTCAGCTTCATGAAACAAGACCTGGTTGTTTCACTTTCTATCACCAACATTAAAGACCAGATTACTTTGTCCAGTGACAATGTTGCTGGAACGTTGCTAAAAGAGGTGTACCACTAAATGAATCTGAAACATTTTAGCCAATTTTCAACAAAATATTCAGCATGACACATGAGTGAGTGACTACTGTTTTACACACCTTTATCAATAGTCAAGCCATAGACAAACAGGTAAACAACAAGCTTTTCTCACATGCGCAAAGGTTATCTCATTTTTATACTTAAATCAAGTTTTGAAGATTTCAGTAGTTTCACAATATGTTTTATATATTTAACATGCTGACATGATTTACATCCTAATCGACAGCAGCATTGAATTCAAGGGTCTTCCAGTCATCGTAATATGGGTTATGTAACAAATATATTGATACACTCTACCAATCAGTTGGCTAGAAGGTCTGTGCTGCACAACAAACTGATTCAATACATTTGTATTACACATTCCATGCATGAATGCAGAATGTCAATATATATATATATATATATATATTTCAAATCTGTAAGTCAACAAGTGGATACTCTATGAAATAATACTTTCAAATTGTGGCCAGAGAATTTCAAACCATTAGTGTCTCATCAGTGTCGTGGAAAACCATGAGCAGATGCTGAAAAAGGCTTCGCATTTGCATAATATTGGCAAACAAAATCACCGTCTCCGAATTAATTTAAAAAAGAAAAGAAATGCATACAAACATGCATTAAAATAAAAAATTTAACAAAAGAACAATCTTCTGTATTTCATTACTGATATATATTTACTGTTAAAAAGTAGGCATCACAGGTACATGAATTCAAGTCTGCCATTCTGAATAATGTTTAAACAAGGCGCCATGGTGGACACACTGTTAATTTGAAATGTATGATACTGTTTATGCAACATGTTAAATGCTTGGGGCAGAACAGGAAACGATACAATTTAGTGGCCACCTCAAGCAGCATATAAACAGATTTATTAAAAAAAATGTAAAAAGTACTCAATAGACTGAACCCAAAGCAGTGAAATCATGTCGGAAACCCACAGAACACTATCAATACTTAAGGCAGATGACAACTTGTGAATAAACACTCAGCGGCTGAAAAAATTTTCAAGAGCCTGGCATAAAGTTTAATTCCCAAACTAGCTGTGTTATAACATTTAATTGAAGATCAACTATTTACTGTATCCCTGGATGAATTCTTTTTCCATCAGATCATGAGGGATGAATACGACAATAATTGAGGCATCTATTTCAGTATGGACACACACCAACACTGTATTCATCCAAAGATTATATCTCCAATGGTATCATGGCAAGTCTGCATAACTCGCATGTGCTTTGACTGACACTAATTCCTCCAAATTATGCAATATAATTACGTTTCCTACCCCCTCTCACCCATCCAGCCACGCAGTGCATGCTAAACAGGGGAAGAATGTCTTCGAGATATACCAGAGCATTTGCTTGTGTCTGCAGGAAGCGACGCCCACAAACACTCACGTTTCAGGTAGCAGACCCTTACCGATATTGCCTGGGAAGAAGGTAGAAAGAAATTATCTTTTTTTTTAGTAACATGAGCTTGATGGTTTTCTTGACAACAAGTTATAGATGTGAAAAAAATTCTCAAGGCCCCAAAAATGATGGCATGTTCAGATTCTTGGAATTTATTGTGTGTGTATACATCTATGCCGGTGTGTGTGTGTGTGTGTGTGTGTGTGTGAGAGACTGGAAGCATGCTTGCATGAAGTATAGACCTTCTTGTTTACAAAACATGGCGTACTGGCAATAATTGTACAGATATGTGGATGTTACACAACCACTCATTTGATTCTGTCCCATGGGGCTTTTTGGTAGGACTAAGTGACCCAGCAACCTGCGTGGGTCAATATGGTCAGACTTTATTGACTGAATATCTATATACACTAATCCTTTGTTCATTGCTCATGATATCCATCACTAGATCATATGGTCCTGATTCTATTATTTACAAGACAATTTGATATTACAAGAATATTTCTCTGTGTGACATTAGCTAACAAACAATACATAAAAGTGCTGTATTATAGAATGTGTTTCTGTATGGTAAGCTCAGCCTACAATAGTCAATAAATTAAGTTAATAAACATAAAAGTACAAGAGTAGTTACAGGCATGTAGTATCAGGACATGGGACACAAGGTGCCAGCCAGATACCTGCTGGAACTCGTGAAGTGGACACATCTACCCCCATACATGGGAAGCCCAGCACATATTACGTGACCCACCAGTTAGAGATTCGTCCAAGACATTTTTTGTGTTTTCTGGTGGAGTATTAAACTTATTTAAACGATGATACATATAGCAGGTCCAGTTTCATTTAAGGTGAGGTGAGGTGAAATGGTTTTTAACGTCGCACTTAAGAATATTTCACCCATAAGCATAAATACCCCACTCAGACACATCATACTGACTCCGAGCCGACCAGTCCTTGTTGTACCCATTAATGCCGAGTGCCAGGCAGGGACCAACAAGTACCATATTTTAATGTCTTTTTGTATGATGCGGCGGGGATCGAACCCGCAATCTTCTGTTCTCTGGGCGGACGCCTATCACTACACCACTCAGTCAGTCAGTTTCATTTAAGACATAGTGTGGCAGAAAATGTCTGCTAGAATATACTGGTGGAAGGATGTGAAACATACATAGTGTTGTTGTCATACAGGAATGATTTTTCAAGATCTATAGAATATGTTGAGACCTGTTTTTCCACCTCTAATGGATTTTCGAGACATCTTATGGATTTTCATAACAAGTCTTATTAGTTGGCTTCGAAATGAAGATGACACGTGCGAAATATGAAGAAAATGAATGCCGATATTCGGAAAGGGAGTAATATCAGATGACATTGATTTTTGTATTAAAACATGACTGGACAATCTCATTCTTATGCTTACAGATCTGAAAGTTTGGTATACACACAAGTATTTCTTTACTCTGAAACAAAAATAAATCAAATAAAGCCCATGTTAGTCTATAAAAACAAGATCAACAGTGTAAGAATGTACACTGAAATGTCACTTTATGTATTATACATGAAGTTGTTATCCAAAATGTTGTCCGCTGTGTTATTGTCTCACCAACTTCTAGAATGCTAATCAAACTATTAAATCTACAATAGTTGGCAAATCTTGATTACTGCAGTTCTAAAATTCGAAGTCTGTTGGCTATTTTTCTTGATAATTTCTTCAGATAATTTAATAACTGTATTTTTCTGTACAATATTCTGGAGACTCAATGTCAATCTAACCAATTCCTATAGAACCACTGTGCTTGTTAAGAAATTATTTTAACTTGGTTCAAATGGTGCTGTCCATCTGCGGTACTTTATTTTAATTACCATTTCATCTGTATTTTTGGGGCAGTGGGGTAGCCTAGTGGTTAAAGCGTTCGCTCGTCATGCCAAAGGCCCGGGTTTGATTCTCCACATGGGTACAAAGTGTGAAGCCAATTTCTGGCCTTCCCCTGCCGTTATATTGCTGGAATATTGCTAAAAGCGGCGTAAAACTAGACTCAATCACTCATCTGTATTTGTTGGAATGCTAAAATATAAAACTTGGTATTCAAAATGGATTTAAAATTTATACCAAGTTATTTGGAATTCTTTTCTCTTAAAATACCTCTAGTCAACACTACACTTGTTCTCCCTATGGTGACATCCAATATGAAAATCCCATGTGAATGATAAAACATTGATCAATCCTTACACGCAAGGCAATTCAAACAAAGACTTCTGAACAGAA